TAACAGTCCCAATGTTAAAGGATACCACAAGTCCAATACCTCAAGGCTGTAAATAAAATAGTCACACTGTAGTTCCTGCTATTTCCAATCCAAACACTACACTGGCCTCTATTCTAGAGCAGCCAACACTACCCACTTGACTGTACTAACATACCCTCTGCCTTCTTTCACACACGTGATGATCCACAGCCCCGTTTCCCTTTCCCCTGGAAAGTCAACAGTAAACATACGTAGACTGCTATGCCTCAGTGGTTCGTTGAAACCCCTAGTTACTTTTTTTTCCAATCCTGAATGCTAATTTGAAGGATTTGGTTTTCTCCTATAATTCCATTCTAATCCCATGCATAGATGATATCCTGTCTGGTCAGTTCATTTCAGCAGCTCATTCACTCACACTTCACACGTGCCCCAAGTTTCTGCAGTTATACAGGAAGTAGGAAAAACAAATAAAAATCTGCCCCAAGCCCTTGCTTATAAAGGACAGGCTTATGTCGGTAATCCCAGCACTTTGGGAGGCCAAGGTGGGAGGATCGCTTGAGCCCAGGAGTTCGAGACTAGCCTGGGTAACATAGGGAGACCCCATCTCTACAAAAATAAAAAATAAAAAACTTAGCTGAGTGTGGTGATGCACACTTCTAGTCCCAGCTACTCGGGAGGCTGAGGTGGGAGGATTGCTTCAGCCTGACAGGTTGAGGCTGCAGTGATCTGAGATTGCACCACAGCACTCCACCTGGGAAACAGAGCAAGACCCTGTCTCAAAAATAAAATAAAATAAAAAATAATGAGTGTCTAGGACAAATTATAACTATGCAATTCATAAGAACAAGACTGAGGGCATGACCTTGCCCTTGAAGGCAAAACCTTATCCACACAGCATGCATCTACACCATTATTTATTTTGTTTTATCCAAGACTAAAAGGCAACTCCAATGGTTTCTGGGCCGGTCATGGGTTGAATTTTGTCTCTCTAGTACCTCAGAATATGACCCTACTTGGAAATAGGGTCATTGCAGATGTCATCAGTTTAAAGGAGGTCATACTGGAGTAGGGTGGGCCCCTAATGCAACATGACTGGTGTCTTTTTTTTTGTTGTTTTTTGAGATGGAGTTTTGCTCTTGTTGCCCAGGCTGGAGTGTGGTGGCATGATCTCGGCTCACTGCAAATCCTGCCTCCCGGGTTCCAGTGATTCTCCTGCCTCAGCCTCCCGAGTAGCTGGATTACAGGCATGAACCACGTCCAGCTAATTTTGTATTTTTAGTAGAGACGGGATTTCTCCATGTTGGTCAGGCTGGTCTCAAACTCCCGACCTCAGGTGATCCACTCGCCTTGGCCTGCCAAAGTGCTGGGATTATAGGTGTGAGCCACCGCGCCTGGCCAACTGGTGTCTTTATAAGAAGGTGGCCACGTAAGACACAGGGAGAAGCATGTGATGATGAAGGCAGAGCTTGGAATGACGCAGCCACAAGCCAAAGAATGTTAGAGATTGCCATGAGCCACCAGAAGCTGGGAAGAGGCAAGGAAGGATTGCCTGGGGAATTGGGGAATTGGAGCACCCTAACATGCCTTTTTTTGTTTTTTTTTGTTTTTTTTTTTTGTTGTTG